GACAGACACTGACACACTCTTCCTACAACCTGCAAGGTTTTTGACCATTTCATAATAGTCCATATTTTTGGGCTACAAACTCTGGCTGTCTTAGAACGGGTGTGACATGTGTGGGTTGTCGCTGTACTCTTTAAAGAGAAGTGTGAATGTTGGGTTGTTGGACCTTCTGTTGTCCAGAAGCTGCAGACGAGGGTTTCACGAGCAGCTTGGAGGTGGTTTGTTTCTTTCAGTTGAACACACAGACTCTAAAACAAGAACTTCACTGGACGAAGTTCAGCACATTTTTAGGGTTTTTGCAGCCGTGCAAGTTGAGAGTTGCTCAGAACAGGAAATCATGTTGTTACAAATATTTTGTTTGTTTGTTTTGTATATGTGCTGTATTTTTATGTAAACATACCACAGAATTAGAAGTACTGACACTATTCAACCAGCTGAGGGCGCTGTTGTCTTTTTTCTTGCTCAGCTCTTCATTTGTGTGTACAGAGTTATTTATCTGTAGCTGATCCATACGTGATCACTCATGCTGTCTTTTTAATCATCTTTACCTGCAGAGCTTGACCATCTTCTCTTGTCCTCGTCCATCCAGGTCAGTCGTATCTTGTACAGCTTCTCTACGGCCTTTCGGCGTTCTTCACGACCAGCAGACATCAGAGACACGACGCTGTCCAGTCCACCTGACGGCGATCTCTATACCTTCACTGTTACACTGGAGATCAAAGAGGATGATGGCAAAGGCAACTACAAGTACATGATCACACGTGCAGAAACACACCTGCATTTCTTCTCTCTTCATCACAGGACTGTCAGGATGGCAGAGATGTTGGGAAAGATTTAATGTGTTTTATCACCTGCAAAGAGCATAAAGCTGATAATCTTAAATCATCTTGTTACACGTAGAGATCAATTTTCATGCTGTCATCTGGTTTCTGAGATGGGATGAAGTGAAGAGACTGAACAGAGGACTTGTAATGTTTTGTCAATCACGCTCAGATTATAATCTTCCAGAGAAAAGATCAGGAAAACAAGTTTACAGATGGCACTAACATGAGCATTATTGCATATGCAGGCATCTGGACTTGTGCAGTAACTCACCCTTCTTGCTCCCTGCAGCCCCGTGCCCAAGGACAGAGAAAAGTTCTACTTCAAGCTGAGACAGTCCGTCCAGAAGAAGGTCGTGGTTTCAGTCCAACAGATGTGTAACAAGGAGCTGGGCATCGAGAGGTGAGCAGCACCCCGATCTCCTTAAATGTAATCTTAGCCTTCAGCTTTCAGTCCACGCTCACTTCAGGATAAGTAACAGCATTACAGACTTCATGGAAGTCTTATTGGTTAAGCTCCAGTGTGAGGAGACGTCCTTAAATGGTCATGTATGCTTGTCTGGGTCCTCCGGGGGACAGCGAGCAGCAGTCGGGGAGCTGTGGGCTGTTATAGTCCAAGCAAGCAGGAGTTACACAAATATTCAGTGTATGATAGAAAGCAGAGTTTCCTGTTCTAACTTTTCTTAATTCTGGTTGTTGGAGTTTGTTCTGGTGGTTGTTAATCATTGTTCACCATCTCACTGAGTTACTAAGCTTTAGCATTTTATACCGTGTAAAAGTGCAGTTTGACTCATTGAGCTGTCGTCCGGTTTCTCGCCTGTCCCGACTCTGCAGACTGAATGCAGGCTGTATCTGTGCAGTTAGCTGATATCGATTTGTGGATTCAACTTCCTGCGTCTTCCCTCCAGGTGTTTTGGGATGCTGCTGAGTCCAGGACAGAAGGTCTGCAACAGTGACATGCATCTACTAGAGATGGTGAGTAGCACAAACTGTAACTCTGCTCGCTGTGAAACCAGAAGATTGTTACAAGAAAATAATCCAGCAGTTAATCCGTACGCAGGAGTCGATGGGGAAGAGCTCTGACGGGAAGGCCTACATCATCACAGGAACTTGGAACCCCAACATGGCGGCCTTTCAACCACTGAATGAAGACACGCCTAAAGGTTATTATTACTCCTTTTCTTTCTTTCTCCTTCTAGCTTGATGTGACCTGTTTTGGTTTGTACCACTTTCATAGAGGATAAAGTTTCAACACTGATCCGAGATACCAAAGCCAAAAACGGGGCTGCGTTTGCATTCTTGCCTTGAAAACCTCAAACAGCATAACAGCCCAAATAAATAAAATGCAACAGGATTTATTTCCATACATTACTGTCGGTGCGACTGCTAAAAGCTCAAGGTCCCATTTGGGAAAGCGCTCGCACTGGAGTGGGTGTGATAATTGCCTTAATCCATTCTGTGCTGTGTGGAAGCTGGACGTGTGACCTACGGCTGGTTTTACATGTGGACGCATAAACAAATTGTGTCGAGCATCAGAGGTAACTGAGCTTTGGACGCTCACAAGAAATCCAATTAAAAGCAGCTTTCTGACTTTTCCTGCAAGTGAAACCTGCAGCTTTTAATGCAAGTTGATGTTGATGGAGGCAGTGAAGGTGAGCTCTGTACAGGTGAGCATCAATCTAGCTCTATGCTAATGTTTAGTGGCGTGTGGAGCCCTGTGCCGACCCTTTAAAAAGACAGATTAGAGGAAAATCGTATTTGAAGCGTCTCATTATCGTGCATTTTGTACGGTGTGGAAGTCTCGGTGCACGTGAGGCTTATGGACTTCTGACTGCACAGATCGTTATTAAAAGGAGACTCAATCAACCATAGCTCAACTTTCTTTTGCTGCTAGTTAAGAAATGCACTCGGCTCCTTTACAATGTGATTCAAATAATAAAACCTCCCTGCTGTGACGCTGCGTCTCTCGCCTCGCTGTCCTTTTGTCTCCAGAACAGAAACATTAAGTGATTTTTTGTTCATTTGGAGCTTTTTGTTATGAAGATGTTGTTGCATAAATCAAAACATCTGTTTAGAACTGGTTGGTTAAGCTTTGGGTTTAGTTAGTCGTGTAAACTTTTCACTGAACAGTTGAACTTGCAGACATGTTGGGAACTTGGAGTGCTTATCCACCAGGGGGTGTGGCCTCCCTGCAGGATGTGAGGA